TATATATATATATATATATATATATAGTATCTGATATTTTCTATACTCCAACATGAACTTCTGCTAGATCAGCTATCCAAAGTATTAAAAAATGCTGATGATGCTGACATCAAATGTATAATATCATGTGGAATGGCACTCTGTACAAGGTTGTGCATGCACACTTTGACCCCCACATGTAAACATAGGGTTAAGCTAGTGTTAGTTAGTGAGTATGTAAATCAGTGAGTAATTAGTGCATGATTTAGTCAATTTGTTCCTCTCAACCATTCAGTTAGTGCAATGCTATAAATTTGAGTTTGTGATGATTCCCTGATAAACTACGAGAGATAAGAAATTAGTAAATTTCTACTAAAGAACCTGGCCAAAAGTAGAAACAGTCACAACAAATACTGATCTGGTGATTCTAAAATGTATATAATGTAGTATGGGATTTTTCATTCAGTGATACTTTTTTAAGAATTACAGTATTTTGTAGCAAGGCGTAAGTAGCATTAATAGTAAAATTCCTTTTACATGATAATTGCTCTAATGAAAAAAATTAATAAAAAAGTACCAGTAAGACACACTCACAATATGATAATATCCAAAATATTTTGAAAACTAAACTATCAACAAAAGCTATATATTAAAAATTCTATTCCATTGAATATCATAATAGAAATGTTACCTAAAAGAAGCACACAATTAGGAATATGTAACTAATATAAAAATATTTATATTTTGTAATTAATACCATAAGGTCAAAGAGAACTTTTTTTTTAGTCGCTTCTTGTGATCTTATCGATTTTTCTTTATGCTTGTTGCTGCTGTTTTTAATATAAATTTATATAATAAGGAAAAATAATCTTGGTTATGGGTGGTAAAATTAGAGAAGAAGTGTCAAGTTTAATGATTATCAGAAGTGAACTATAGTTTTGAAATCAAAATCCAGATATACTTCTTTTTCTTTTTTCTTTCAGTTCCTACTTATTTATGGTAGGATATGGATACTTATTATATGATAGAGCAATTGGTACTAAGTAATGTTGCTCCCCAGTGGCACAGCGGTATATCTGTGGACTTGTAACACTAGAAACTGGGTTTCAATAGCCTTGGTGGGCAGAGCACAGATAGCCCTTTGTGTAGCTTTGTGCTTAACTACAAACAAAGTAATATTTTGCATATATTATTAAGGTATTGCAAATGCATGTGATGAGGGAGTGAGTTTCAGACACTCAATGAATCTGATGTTGATGTAACTGCTAGTAGGTGGCTTATGTATATGCTTCAGTAGTTATTGATAAAGAGTTGAACAAAAACCTGCTGTTGTGCTATCTAGTAGTAGTGAGGTGTAACTAATTGTATCTGGAGTGAGGGTGAAGGACATTTGAAAAGCTCTTTGTTGCATGATTCAATAACCTTCAGCTACTTTAATTAGAAATAAAGCCTATGGAAAGGAATGAGCTATTGTAAGTTTTAAATATTTTTGTACTGCATGCTCCGAGATTGTTTTATCTTCTGATTTAGTCTCAGATTAGGGCATTGTTTCCGGTTTACTCAGAATAATAAGTTTGAACATCCTTTTGTGATGGTACCAGAAGCACTGTGGATGATGTAATCTTTTTAAACTCTTCAAAATTTTGTATCCTCCAGCCTATTAACCTTATGTTGCTTTTATCTGTGTGCCTTAGGATATAATAATTTGTATGGAAATGGACTGTGATGCCATCTTTCAGCTCACTAGATTAGTAAAGAAGACATATGACTACTGTGTTTTGTATGAATTAAAAACAATATGAAAAAAATGTTATTTAACAGGAATCAATCTTATTATTCAGTTTTTGTAGTCAGCAGCAAAATAAAGATAATGCAACAAATATAATTGAAATGAAAGGAAAATTGAGTGATTTTATTAATTTAGAAAGATTCTTTATGAAGTATTTATACAGTGGAGTATTTAAGAGTTACTTGAACCTGGAGTTTAAAGGTCAGTTGCCTCTAATGCCAACCAATAATGATTTTAATGATTTTAGAACATTTAATATTCTTAGCAAACGAAAGAAACATTATCTTGTTATGGACATACATATTTGTGTTTAGCTTATAATATTAGAACTTAAATATATTTTCAATATCTGAATGTCCAGAAGAATTCAGGTAGCATAAAGCACACTCAAGTGTATACATGTTTAACGTAGAAAAACAGCTAGTACCCAGCAAAAAATATTTAATTCCTCAACATTTCACCTTGTAGTTTTATTAAGAGGCACCTAATGGGTTTATCAAAAAGTAGACACCCTACAGAACACAACACAGTGACTGGGCTTGTGTTCTTTCGGGCAGTGCTTTCCTGTGTGCTACAGAAAGGTCTCAGGTGTGCCACAGAATTTTTGGAATTAATAATTAATTTTTATTTAGTAATGTAAATTTATTATCAATTGAATAAATTTTTAAAATTTTAAATATGAAACAATTATGTTTGTTGAAACAAACTCACTTTTTACATTGAAATTCTAGTAAAAAAAAAAGTGAAGTCAAATATTTCTCATGAAAATTGTAGTCTATGTTTCAGTTCAAAATAAATGTTATAAATTAGTGTTGATTATTTTAAAAACATTTGGTGTGTCACAAAAAGTTTGGGATGCTAATAGTGTGCTGTAATCTGAAAAGGTTTGGGAAGCACTGCTCTAGGTTGTCTACCTCTTGATAAAGCCATAAGGTGAAATGTTTAAGAATTAAAGAATGCTCACTAGGTACTGGCTGTTTCTCTTCATAAAATGTCTGAACATGTGGGTTGTAGGTTATATCTTTCCTGAGTTGTGAAGTTTATATGAAATAGTCTATTCTAAGTTAGCATGGATATGTTGTAAATCATATCATATCTTTGTTGTGAGGCTCAAATCAAATATTTTTTCAACTCTAAATTACTATGCAGTTTGTTGTTCACATCATATCTTTGTTGTGAGGTTTATATGAAGTGGTTTGTGTGCTTAGAATTAACATGTAGTTTATAAATTGTATTGTATGGCCTAAAACAAAATGCTACTTCAACTTCAACTGGGTCAAACAAAAAAAAAATTATTAAAATATAACAAATCCAAAAGAAAAGTTTCAAACAAATACAAGTTTTATCACTTACAAAAATGAGTTAGTAAATCCATGCTTGGCCATGACTAGGTACAAACATTAATAAGCAAAACAACATAAATCTCAATGCTATTAATTTAAATGAATAAAGGAATTATGAAAAAGAACCAAAAGAAGAAGAGAACTAATTTAAAAAAAAATGATGTTCCAAAACTAAACCATTTCTCAAGATCACTAACGATATTGAGCACTAATTAGCAATAATTCTAACTATGTTTTGTGAACTAACTTATTACAATCAAAGAAGGGTTTTATTTAGTGGTTAGACCATGAGGTTACATCTCATGTGATTAGTTATTACCATAAATTTATATAATCATTCACAACATTAATATCTGTACATGTGTAAGCTTCATAATATATACTTGCATACTAAAAATCAATATCTTCTAGCTAGAAGGTGAGTTAGTGCTTTAATATAATAATTTGTAGTTGAACTAAATGATAGAAGGAATAATAAATGAGCAATAAACAAGACTATAACAAGATAAATGTACAATTAGCTATCTCACAATATTATACCTCAATCATAAAGTTTATAGGAAATAGTCTTTCTTCTCTAAATTTTCACTGTTTTTACTAAAATTTAAAATTTTCATAATTTTTTCCAAGGATACTCCACAGTGTTTTAATAAGCAGTCAAAAGGTACTCAAAGAAACCAATTATTAGCTTGGGATTCTTTTCTAGCAATTATTGTCTAATGGTTTAATGAGTAAGGAAGATACCACAGTTGGAATAGCGCTGTAGTAATAACTGATTATTAACAGCTAATTTCAGGGACAGGCTGTGAAAATGGAAATTTCATTCATGCATGTGACTGATTTTTTTTATCAGGTTCTTTGAAGCAGCTTAGCAGATTTTTTTTATTTTTTTTACACAGTTGCATTTTGTGAATAACAAAATCTAGGTATTTGATATAATGTGAAACTGTCCCTAAATTTGACTGTAAACTTAAAGAATATTGTATTTATCTTTTCAGAAATGTTAGTCTCTTGACACTTGAAATATTTTTTGGCATTTTAATATATAGAGAAATGTACTTAATAAACCTTGTTCTCTTAGTATTCTGAAATGAAACAGTAAAACATCGCATTAAACTCAGTTTTTATTTAAATTGAAGCTACACTTTATTGAAATAATCTACTACAAATACACATTTTTGTTGTATTTTACAGGGTGTGGATAATGAGACTGGTCATAAGACTACAGGCACAGTTAAACAGAATCTTTCGAAGCCTTCCCAAAGAATGGACAGTTATAGATTATCCATGGCCAACCTAGAATGTAAGTTTTGAAGACACAAGGTTTATACTTGTCTATGGAAGCATGTTATACTAATATAATATTAAGTTGGCAAACAATGATTTATAAGCACAATGAAGTGGTTTTATTTTGGGGAACATACATGTTTCAACAGAATTATTTTGTTGAAACATGTAGCATGTTCCCCAAAACAAAACCACTTCATTTTCATTATAAATCATTGTTTGACAATTACTATAATATAAGGTTTATCTTGCTACTTCCTTTTAATAGATTAAAGGGTAATCTGAATTTATAACATCTTAATTATGACAAGGCAAAAACTACTGTTGCAAAATAACATCATTCACCCTGTTCATTTAACAGTCAATATGAACATCTGATGATTAGTCATTCAATCATTGCCCATAAGTTAATATTTAGTGGATACAACTCATTAACCACAGTAATATACAATTAAGAGTTTTAATGTTTATGATTACAAAAAAGTACAGCTTTATTAACACTAGTATCACTAAATAAAACTTCTTAGATGAAGGATCCTGAAAGTTACATTTGAAAAATAATAATTTTATTAAAATCTGTGTCACTAACTGGTACTAAGGGCTAAGAAAAATTAAAGAAAAACAGGAAATGTTTTATACTCTTCCTAGCAGTCATTACACAATTTGTTTTAAATATTTTTTAATCAGAATTCATTTTGTGAGGTTTATTTACTTTTTAAAACTATAACTTTAACATAATGTATTCAATTTGAACTTTAATATGCTGTATTTATTAAAAAGTAACAAAAACAATGGAAAAAAGTATTAAAAGAAGGTCATTGTAAGAGATCTTTCGATGTAGAAATTTATTGTCTTAACTTATTCTGATATAGCATTCAGTTAACTTTGTGTAATTTTCAACTTTTAGCCAGCCAAGATGTAGAACTTGATGCAATATTGGGAGAGCTTTGTGCCCTAGGGTCTCACTTTGACAGAGGCCATGCAAGGAGCATTTCAGGAGGTAGTGATAGCTTGAGGTTATCCAGTTGTGTTTCTGGAGCAACCCTAGAGATTCAGGGAGTTGCCCAACAAATTTCTCGTCATTCTGGACATAGTCGTTCTAGTTCAGGGGGGACTAAGACAAAGTATGAAATTGGAGGGTCTCATGGAGATGTGCTAGATGAAATGGGACGAACCCAGAAACAAGATTTTGGTCTCAGAACGGATAGTCCAGATAATGATTCGGCTTTCTCTGATAATGTTTCAATGCTGTCTTCAGAATCGTCTGCCTCTTCAGGAGCTGGAGTAAACAGGAGTGATGTAACTAGTCAAAATATCTGTGGCCGGAGTGGTCACATACCCCAGACCACACTCTTATCACAGGTAATTACAGCATTTTATCTGTCTTTATAGGGAAATGAAATTTTATCATGAAATGTCTATTTAACTGTAAAAACTTGTGTAAGTTATACTGTTAAATAGTGTAGACTAAGCATAAAAAAATATAACTTAATTTTGGTATAAATATTCATGTTAGTGAATGTATTTTTGTATTTCCAGCACTGTTGCAACATCTCATGCAAGTTTAACAGTACAGTTATTTTTACAGTATGCTAACACATCACTTATTCTCTATACAAGTCATAATTTACAGACTTCAAATGGCTCCTTAATCAACTTTATGACACTGTAATATAGAATTACTTGGTATGAGCTCTACAAGCATGATGGTAAATCCCTTAGAGTTTAGACACTGCAAACTAATACATAAGGAACTATCAAAAACATGTATATACAGTTCATAGAACTTGGAACAGCCTCTTAATTACAGGATAATGAGACTTCCTAAAAGAAAAATTTAAAACAAACAACATTACTTTTTTGTTGTTACTTTTACTTGTTGTTAAACAAATGTTTAAACAATTCTGTTCAACTATGTATCAACTGCCTAATGTCGGCTAAAAATACGAAGAATTAAATTGTGGCAGAATGCTACAAGTTCTTCAAACTCCTATAGAATGATAGGTTTCTTTTTTGTGAATGTAAAATACTTAAAATCGCCATTTTGATTTTCGATACCTCACCACTATAAAGGCTTGGTTTGGTCTGAAGTTTCATTCAGTGGTCGTGTTCTGGGTCACTGATGAGGAATGGAATTCTCCGAAACTAGTCTGGCCCACAGACACCCCCCTTTCCCCCAATGAAATAATAGACCATTCCAAGCTTTTACTTGTTGTTAAACAAATGTTCCAACAACATTATAATCTGTAAAAAGGTGAATAGTACCATTACAATGTTTTAAAAAAAACCTACTCAAAGTTCTCAAGTTTTTACTTTATACAATATATAGGAACTTTAAAACAATCTACTTCAATATCAAAAGTTCTTGAATATAATTTTTTTTCTTGTACTCTTCTTAATAACTAGGAAAACAACATGAAACTTACAAGAAAACCTTCATATTTAAGTCCAGATAAACCATAAGTTTCATTAGAAGTTATTTCTGTTCTATTTTCCAAATATTGTATTATTAATACTTTGTAATTATTGTAACCAGTGTAGATTGGTTTTAATATTTATAATAAAAATTATTACATTTTTATATTAATGAAATACAGATATGGTATGAAATTAGGTTTAGTTTGTTTATCAGTTATAGACTATATGTTATAAATTGTAGAAACAAGAATGAGACACAAAAGCTTATTGCTGCAGTTTTACCAAAGGTAAATTGACCACATGTGTGAGTGTGTGTTAATCATGTGAAAAGTTTAATAATGTCAAACATAAACTCTTATAACAACATCAATAGTTTTCTGTTACACAAAATTATCCCACATTTATGTAGTGTAAATTGTGTAAGACTTCAGGATAAAATGCTGTCCTCCATAATCTTACAAAATAGTTAAATTTTTGAGGTGATACCCATTTGTACTTTATTCTTTATTTTATGTCACATTAAAGGATAACTTTGGTCTGTCTTGGCTGTCCTATCCACTAGATTAACTTAAATTCTTAAACAAAAAAATGAGAGAGACCTCAAAGGCAGCCCATATCATTCAAATATTTATCAAGTTTTCCCTCCTTAATCTTCCTTAAATTAACTGCAACCACCATATCTGGAGACATTCTGTTTCAAAGTCGAACCACCCTGTTAGAGAAATAAAGCTGTCTTACTTGAAGATGACTTCTTCCTTGTGTCCCTTAATCTTACCATTCTCACATTAAATATGCACCTGAAAGTTTAAAAAAATATGAGTAACTTTTGATTAAAATTAAGCTTTGTAGATCAGAACTAAAGAGTGATTAATAAACAAACAAAGTGATTTCTGTGAAACAGACAAGAAGCAGATAATGTTGTAAATTAATACTCCAAAACATTAAAATCCATAATGATTATATACACCAAATCATCACTATTATCAATTGTATACCTAATAATTTATGGGGTTTGGCCCATTTAAGAGATTTAGGTTATTTCTATTAAAGCCGTATGCTAAGCTAACAATACAAATTGATCTTGATAAAGATAACATTAATAATAATAATGATGTTCAAAAGTATTAATGAGTTTATAACAAAGTAATGAAACTAAAGGAAAATGGAGTATGCAGGTGTCTACATGATAATTATTTGTAACCTTGTAACTATGTATATATAATGACTTCTAACAAAGAATCAGTCATTAATCATGTTCAGGTGTTTGAAATTCATTTCTATAATGTACATCTGCTGCTCTTACTTACATAAATTTGTATTGATTGTTGCATAATTAATATAGCACAATAATTGTAGATTATACTGACAATGCTCCCCCACCTTGGAGGCACACCTGGAACTTATGAAGAAAATACAACACATCACTAATAACAAGATGACAATAGAGCCACACACATAAACATGTGCCAAAAAGTTCCTGTGTTTTCTTAGCTTTCAATAATATAAACTGTAATGCAACACAAAACGAATCTCTCTAACGATTGATTAGAACTGCAATTTTGAGTTGTATCAGCTCAGCTAGACTAAGAATAAATGTCTTTCAGTGGAACTAATAAGACTTGATTTTACCAACAACATATATTTTGGTAGGACTTCAACACTGAAAGATATCCATCATGAGTTCATTATAGTAAAAATAAAAAAAAAACCCATAAAATCAGCAAGGTTTATAAATTACCTTTAAAACAAAAATCTAAAACACTAGTGCTTTTAACAGCAGTCACAAACACTAGGTTTTTCCTGTTTTTTATTATTATTATGTGAAACTTTTTTTCTTTAATATTGAACTTTGCTAAGCTGCATAGTAAGTTTAGTTTTATCTTGTGGAATAGTGTAAACTTGTACAAAATAACCAAATAGTTAAGAGTGGAAATTACTTGATTAATCATTAGTACTGATTCTTCAAGGATGATCAGGCTCGAATAAAGTCGGAGAAAATCAAGCTTGCTATGGAGAAAATTCAAGAATCTCATATCAAGAGGGTGAGTTTCATGTGATATTAACGTTTCCTTTGATCTCTAAGTTACTAATACTATGTAAGCATTAGGAGTAGATGTAATGTACATTCATGGCAAAGGAATATGTCCTCCTGCTATTTTCCTCAACAGAGGATAGTGTCTATCACATTTCAAAAACGATGGTATGTTTTTCATTATAGTAAATTACTTACCTGTTGCACTATAACCCCACAAAAATCAGTATCAGGTGTGTATTTAGTAGGGAAAGGGACAAATGGTAGTTATGGTTGGGTTTTGAATGTTTGGCTCCTGAAATCTGATTGGATTCAGATATTTTTGGATTGCAGAGTAGATGTGGCCATACATATTGAAATGCGACATAGGCCTGAATATCATGGCCTCATCGAAACTATCGTGTCTGCACATGAACTTTGTAACTATTTAGTTAACATAAAGAAATACTGAAATACTGTGACCACCATTAGTTTTGCCTGCTGTTACTTTTAAGTTCCTACTATAGTGTATAGTATACATTATATCATTTGTTAAGCTATACTAGTATTCTATAATTACTTTGTCGCATTCACCATTTCGTTACTTACTTTTCTAAAATTTATTATCTTATTATTAATGTGAATACTCTTGGGCCTTATTACTTATATTGTGTAGGTGCATAAATAATTTTTTGTACCTACTTTTATTTAATGTAATGAATTCTTAAAGTTCAAATGAATTTTTTTAATATGCATGGTCCTAGATATATGTACACACAGTTTCTATTAACCAGTAAATACCAATCATAGACTGCTTGAAAAGCTAATAGACCGACAGCTGGAAGCTGCCAGTCAATTTGATTGGCTGTAAAACCTCTGTGAGAGGCAGCTACCTAAGCACATGCATATTAAGCCAATCTTCATTTTGAAATAAGTATTTAAAAAAAATCTCAATCTTCAATTTTCTGTGTGTTATGATGCCTCTGAGTTCCAATCTCTCTACTTCAGAAGTTTCTACCATGAAAAATAGGCTGCTGGTTTCCCAACCAATTAGAAACACAAACCAGTTATAAATAATTACAAACAATAATCTAAGAATTGAATCTCCTACCTTCTTGACTTTCTGAGATATCTATAAGTTTGTCAAACCCACCAGAGAAAACCTTCCCTTCTCTGTGACCTTTGATATTGTTTGCTAATCAACTTTATATGGCTGATGGACATATTTATAACTAAGAGAAAGAGAAGATTTTTCTCTACATAGATTTTACAAATGTTGTTTAGCTTGTATACTGTAAACCATTGGTCTGCTGAATTATTTGCTATTTGGTGATCATGTGTTGGTTTTCTGAATGATAAAGGAAATGTTAAACCATTTTATAGCTTGCTTAGAAAGCCGTATAAATTATAGTAGTTGCAGGACATTCTATTTTATTGACTGATATATTTTTTGTGTTTTAAAATATATATTTGAAAGCTGCATGAATTCTTTATTTGGACACCCAAATTTTTCAGACAAAAGAATAAAATGTTTACTCAAGTGCAAAATAGTTTGAGTATGTAGTCAATACTACTACAGATCGTGGTTTTTATCTATATATTTTACATATTATTACATATTTCTTAAACGCAACAATATAAAAATTATAAACTTGTTATAAACATTATAAGCTTAGCCTAACAACATTTTGGTAAAATAAACAATAAAAATTTCACAAGCTAAAGCACTCTATGAAACATTACACTCAGTAATTACTTAGTGCTTACATTAGCTCTATGGAAAACAGCTAGTAGGCTCCTGCTATGATTTATTGCTTTTTCTACGTGAGGATTACAGCAATAAAATCATAAAATTAAAAAGAAGCTTGTGAGAAAAATGTTTATTCATTTAGGAGGTACTAGAGGTTATACAAATGAAATATGAGAATCATAAAATGTAAATAAATATGTTCTTAGCA